AAGTTTCCACTAGTGACCCCTGGTTGTCGAAGATGATTCGGTCTGTAGAAAAGAGACCCTTATCGTACCCAGCGTGGAGAGTAGAAGACAGCTGCCTCTACAAATTCGTTAAGTCCAAATTCCCCTCTATTTACGGTGATTCTTCGAATTGGAAAACGGTTGTTGGTCGAAAGGAGAGGGCTGAGATTCTGAGTAAATGTCATGATGACCAGTTGGCCGGTCACATGGGCATTCGGAAAACTTTCGCTAGGGTTACGCAAAATTTTTATTGGCCGCATGTAAGATTCGTCAACAGGTGAAACCTGATAACACACAGCCAGCTGGGGGTTTGTTGAGAGGTCCAAGGAAATTGCACCTTGGGAAATAATATGTGTTGATCTGGTAGGGCCCATGGTGAAGTCGACACAGGGCTACCAGTATATTTTAACGGTCGTGGATTACTTTTCGAAGCTTCCGCTGTTGTTTCCCTTACGGACTGCCAAGGCGAAGCGCGTCTGTAAAATCTTAGAGGATCAGGTGTTTCTTTTGTTTGGTGTCCCTCGGCCGGTGGTCTGCGACAATGGACCCCAGTTCAGGAGTCGCGAACTGCGGGGACTCTGCGGAGCGTATGGCGTCCAACTGCGGTACACCGCATACTGTCATCCGCAGGGTAACCCGGCCGAAAGGATAAACCAAATAATTAAGACTACCCTTAGGGCATACGTCGCAGAAAACCAAAGGAGTTGGGACCAGAAATTAGCAAAGGTAGCGTGCTGTATTATTAGGGAAATGGCGTTGGAAGGCAGTAGAAGATATATCGCGTCATTAGGAGAGTAGAGAGAATTAATTGTGAAGAAAGAGTAAAGAGACTCGAAGAGATTAGGTCTAGCGTTAGAGTGGGATTAGAGGAGGCCAGTGCCAAGTTAGCAAGAAATTATAACCTTAGGAGAAGAGATGTGCAATATATGCCAGGAGAGTTAGTTTGGAGGAAAAATTTTGTATTATCTGATGCAGTAACGCGGCGAAGTTAGCGCCGAAATATATAGGACCTTTTATAGTGAAGAAGAAGGTGTCGCCTTGGACTTATGTCCTGGTAGACGAGTCAGGCAAGGATAAGGGGACATGGAACGTGAAGGAGTTAAGACCATATAGGGACAATTAGGAGATAGGTATTTCACAAAAGAAAGCAAGCTTTCTTTGTAAGGAGTTATGTCCTGGTAGACGAGTCAGGCAAGGATAAGGGGACATGGAACGTGAAGGAGTTAAGACCATATAGGGACAATTAGGAGATAGGTATTTCACAAAAGAAAGCAAGCTTTCTTTGTAAGGAGTTATGTCCTGGTAGACGAGTCAGGCAAGGATAAGGGGACATGGAACGTGAAGGAGTTAAGACCATATAGGGACAATTAGGAGATAGGTATTTCACAAAAGAAAGCAAGCTTTCTCTTTAAGGAGGAAGGGGTGGGGTTGTCGCGTACTGGCCGCAAAAAAATAAACATTTGCTTCCCCTTCGTTCTATTTACCCATTTCCTTTCACTCCAACCGATGGGAGTGAAGCTTACCGACAATGACTGCACATACTTACATATGTGCATATGTACAAGTAGATTTCATGTAGGCTTTACGTGATTACCTGCCAAAGGCTTTAATCACGGTGCCCGCATTAGGCACAACGGATTAATTTTTGCATTAATCACTGCCCTGAACTGCAAGCACTTTAGTACCAATTGGCAGTATGTGGTGGACACACTTACCACCTTGGTAGGGCCGAGGCCTACCTAAACCTCTGACGTTCTCTGGATCACGACATCCGGTTGCAATGCAACTCCACATTGAACCATTGCTGGTTCTACCCGCATTAAGGTATTAAACCACAGCCACCACGATACTCCCCAAAGGGGCCGTACCCATGAACGGACCGGAGTAATGCTCGCCGGCGAGATTTGCTGGACTGGCTCAACAAACCCTGACCCACTTAACTGACTCAGCTCACACTAGAACGACTTACACGACTACTTCACTCCACATTCATACTCCGTCTTGCTCGTCTCACACGTCCTACTCGCCTCGCTCGTGGGCACCCTCCTCATCCAGGAGCGTTGACACCACTCGCTCAACTTTCGACCGATCGAGTTGCTTAACACACATATTCACCATCTTGCTCCGTCTTGCTCATCTCACACGTCCTACTCGCCTCGCTCGTGGGCACCCTCCACATCCAAGACCGGTGACACCACTCGCTTAGCTTTCGCAACGGATCGAATTGCTCAACTTGCGCACAACTTTTTCAACATTTCCAGCGGTTTCCACCACACATTTCCTTCAATTACAACTTATTTTCACCATTTTCTAGTCGTAAGCCATGCCAGTGTTTGCCTTGCCAGCCTTGCTTGTGTCACCAGTTTTTCTCGTCTCGCCGACGAACACACTCCGGGGGCATCTGTTCCCCGTGGCACCATTTTTAAAGTCTTTGGTATGACTCTCGAAAGCCGTAGACTTCTTCCAGTTGAGCCTTCACCGACTCAGGACTGGTAGCCTTTAACTGGGGTAGATGGGGTTGTCAAGCAAGGGTAAAAAAAGTGTAGGTAGGATTTGTGAGAGTGCCAAGCGGAGCGCTGAAGTATAGAGGGAGAAACAGAAAGAGTGGAGTAGCGCCAGACGGGGCGAAGTGATATCGGCACCGGAGTTGGAGCGTGTACCCCCAAGAAGCACCCCTGCGGTCGGAACGTCCACCGACCCCTCGATAAGTATTTTGTTGTGTCTAGATTTGGCTATTTTTGTTTTCGGTTGGCTTCCCCTATTGTGAGTACTAAACCTATCCTTTTTAGCATCCTCCACCCTGAGCCCAGTCATTTCGGCGGGTTAAAGTTACCCCCGGCAGCTTGGGAGGTATTGCGAGTGGGCTCATAACCGTTTGGATGGACCTCACCTCGGGTGCGCCCCATAAACAAGGTTTTGTCTTTTTAAATATTCGTGTTTTAAAATTTTCTTTTTACCTAAAATTTTCGACCCACCCTATTATTGCGTACATATATATATATATTAGTTGGTGCCGTTTGGCATTTTTGTCGTTGTCCCTAGCTTGATTTTGTTTGTTAGGTATTTGGATTGCGTGTATATTGTCCCTTGCAAGCAACCCCGCCGTCTTCACTGAGCCAGCCGGTTGCTTGGAATTTTTCTTGTCATCTCCCTTTTGTGCGTGCATTTGTTTATTTCGTTTGGCCCCTTGCGTTGTTGTTGCACACGGTAAGTGCGTTAGGTGGCCGGAAAAGACATATTAGGGTGCACAAAATTTGAAGCTGACAACTTTTCTCTTGTGGGGTATAGAAGGGCGAGAACTCTCCCCAGACTCAAAAATTAAGATTAGTGCATTTCAAATAGTACATTTCAAATAAATATAGTATTTTATTTAAAAGAAAAAGTAAAAACGCTTTTTAGGTAATGGAAAAAGGTCTTCCTGTGAATGCCGAAGTTTCTGGAATAGAGAGTAGAAAAGAAATAATTTTAAGTAAATTTGTTAGTTCTTTCTTAGTGTTTTTAAAAAGATGTTGCCTTTTTTGACTATAAACTCACCTTTCACTTTATATATATTTTAAATATTTTTCTAACAAAATATAGTACACCGATCGTAAAAATAGTACGATACTATATATTATAGTACGGTAGGCAACCCTATTAGTGCCACAAGAGATTATTTTGCGAGATTTAGCCGATTGGGTATTTGAACCTCAGCCTGGTGTAATTAATCAAAACTACTTGCAGGATCGATCAGTTTCGGGTCCTCAAAATAAGCACTGTACAATAGTTAATTAAGAAATGGTTAATATGTTGTCCGGAGTAGAAATGGCGTCGATATCAACTGTCGTTTCTGAATATCCACAGGAGCAAGTAGAAGTAGGGGAGTTGCACCTCATGACTTGATACTAAAAGTTAGAGCAGTTGTGGTGCTAATCCACAACCTAAATATGTACATATTAAGGGTTAGTTAATGGTCTCGCATAATAGTTAAAGAATTACAATGTAATTGTTTGGATGCCGCAGTACAAATATGTACATATAAAGGGTTAGTTAATGGACTTTAAACATGTGATTCGAATTATACTATCACATAAATTAACAGCCCAGCGAATGAACAATTGCTTTTGTATTTAAACGTCGCCAATTCAAAATTATTGTAGGGTTCGCGATAACAATAAATAAGTCTCAAGGTCAGAGCCTAGCAAGAGGATTGCTTAACGCATGGCGTATTGAGTAGAGTACGATCTTGCCTAAATACCAAGTTGAAGTTAACTACCAAAAGCAATGCATGTGGTGTTTGGAATAAAGAAATATGCAGATTTTTTAGACCACGGAGCACCTCGATTTTTGGGGATTATTACTAGAAATTAATTAAAACAAAATCAATGATATAAAAAAACCACACTTCATTCATTTTGGGAAAGAATAAAAATGTTCCAACATAAAAACTATTATTAAAAATAGTTCAAAATCTGCGAAAAAATGTTTGCAGAGGGATATATTCCACCGAAAATTACAATAAAACCCTTTTTCACGAAGACTTTATTTTAAATGAATCAGTGCAAGTTTTGTCTCAATCTAATAGTCTAAGCCGGAGGTATCTATAAGATTAGAGCTCGATATAGTCATGTGAAAAACAATTAGGACACGATATTTTGACCAGTTTTGGCTATATTTATTATGTTGGTTCAATTTTTATTTGTTTATAAAAATATAGCTCATTATCTAACAAAAATCATTTAGGTCCAAATTTCAAACTGCAAAAAAGCAGGAAAATTTTTACAACAACAACAAACTGTTTATTGGGAATTCTAAGTATGCAGATTTATAGCCCCTATAGTTTCAGATTAAGGAACCGCAAGTTTCAATTAGTTAAGAATTCGCATTGATTTTTCATATTTTTTTTTTGCTGACGGTGGCACCAATTTTCTTCCATACAAAGTATGTTCGACATTTTCTTTCTTATAGAAGAAAATAATAACACCATCCCCAAAAAAAAAGGGATCAAAAATCAGCGCGATTTCTTAGCCAAATTAGACTTTTACTTTCTTAGCTATAATTTAATTGGGTATAAAACTGCAAACTAAAATTATATTAAAATTCTTAATAAAAAGTTTGTAGTCGAATTTTATCGAATTTTCTTAATTTTTCTACAAAGTTTGAAATTTCGACATTTTGTTTATGTAAGATAATGAGCTATATTCTATTAAAGATTAATAAACATTAAACAAACAAAAGAAAAATAGTCAAAGCTGGTCCAAATGTCATGCCCCTATTCCGCATTTCGATTATGTTCCCGCATTCCGCTCCGCAACAATCGTAATTTGGTATTCTGAGTTACGATCAGATCGAAAGAAGAGGAAGAGCGAAAGCATCTTCGAAATCCGCTGGTTGCCTAGGAATGTGTTAAATAGAAACAAAACAAAAGAAATATTTGCCACCAAACTATAGCAGCTTATGAAGTGAAAGTTTTTAAATATTTTAAAATATTTTTAAATATATCTAACATCATTGTAATTTAAAAAAGAAAATTTCGTTTGCTCTTAATTTAGGTGGAAACATAAGTATAAGAATTAAATCCATAGCCGCGGCGTTATTGCTTGAAGAGGAGAACGAGTCCCAGATTGCTGATGCAGAAGTTGAAAGGCGGAGATTTAGGGACATGTTTGATCCTTTTAAGATGAGTGAAGAATCATAAGAAATTCATCTTGAACTGCATTACTCACCGCTCAAAGCCAGTGAAATTATAAACGTTGTTTGAGCACTCGACAACATTTGCATTTACTACAGAGTGGAAGATTTTAATGCAAATGAATTCCATTTTGAGAGCCGTCTGGAGGAGGGGAAGAACAAAGCTTATCCTTCCATAGCAATAATAAAAACATCTTTGTTACACTCTACATTTTATGTATGTATGTATGTACTTACATCTATTAATTTTATATAAAAGGAATAAATTGTATTCAGTCCATTTCATAGTCTTATTTATAGATAATGAAAAAAAACGCCTGGACTTCCTCTTTGAAAACCCCGCGCAATATCCGTTTTGATTGCCATTAGGTGCATTCTTTTGCAACCGAGCTACAAAAGAACACTCACTTAAGTGACGAAATACACGCAAAGAAACAACACAAACTCGGCTATTTATCCGAGTTCAGCCAGGTTGGTTAAAAAATACGCGACCTGAAGGCTAGTGTTGTTAAGTGAAAAAACTGTTCTATTGTGAATTGTTAATGAGAAAATGGAGAGGGAAATTATTGTTTCCTTATATACGTGACTTATATTTTAAATAAGTATATATATTACGCAAATACCTCGCATAATTACTCATTTAAATTGGGTTTTGTAGCTAAATCCCGTTAAACTGATTACATGTTTCTTGCCATTATTTATATTATTTTTCACATGCCTGCATGTATTTAACGTCGCAAACGGTCTTGGTCGCAAAGCGAAACTGCAGAGGCGCTGAATTTGTGAATGTGTTTATGAACAAACTATGAGCCACTTAACTCGTCTAGCGGTATACAATGAATCTCTCAAACAATTGCATAAAGAGAAGGAAGCCAAGCCAAGTGGAAGCGATGAGCGATTGTGAAAGATATTCATGCTCACTAGCAGTGTTGCCGTGACGTCATGACAAAATGTATCGTAGAAGGAACAAAAAATGGATCAAATGTATCACTAACTTCTTATTTAAGTATCAAAGTATCAAGTTAGAAAAATGCTATTTGGTTTCATACCTTTGCTTTTTATTATTGTCAATAACCAGAAAACCATGTAATTCACATTCATACACATACATATGTATGTATGTACATTAGACCGTTCGTTAAAATTAAAATTTGCCAGAGTGCATATGGTTTTCTAAATTTTCAAATGCAACGCGCAAGTACTTAGAGTTATCATATTCGAATAAAATTTTGCACAGCTTATTTTTAGACCAAAACACATCTTTTTCCGCCCGGCAAAC